TGTCCCACTAGCTCTTATAACTTAATTTAACCTTTCTCTTCATCTATGTTTTGCCTCGGGGCTTTTTACCTTTTATTCCTTCTGTATGTCCTACTCCATGGCTGACTGGCTGCTAGCTTCTCTCCTCTTTCCTCCCTTGAGCCTAGACTCCTCCTCTTACTTATTCTCTCTGCCCACCAACCCTGCCTACCCCTCTGCTGTCCATTGGCCGTTCAGCTTTTTATTAGACCAATTAGGTGCCTTAGGCAGGCAAAGCAACACATCTTTACATCGTTAAACAAAAAAGAGGCCTGTCAGCCTAAAAGAGCCCATTTTGATTTTCCTTCAGTGAGCTAATGTTAGCACAGATACTGGTTGTGCTGCCAGGGTATTTCCACACGTGTGGCCTCAGGGATAAAGTGGGTAATGAGTGAAATTGAAACTGGGTGAAATCAGCAAGTCAGGAGTAGACGAACAGGCACTGCCCTCTTGGGTGTCTAATTTCATTGGAATTCTCAATCTTAGTGTTATTTTATTTTAGTTTTTTAAAGATTTATTTATTTTAATGTGTGTAAATGCCTCACCTACATGTATGTCTGTGCACCACATGCCTGTGATGCCTCTGGAGACCAGAGACAGCATCACCCTGGAACTGGAATTATGCATAGTTGCTAGCCACCATGTGGGGTGCTAGGAACCTAACCTAGGTCCTCTGCAAGAGTAGCAAGTGCTTTTAGCTGCCACTGAGCTCTCTCTCCAGCCCCTTAGCATGACTTTATTTTTTTTTTTTTTACTGATTGCTTCTTTATTCTAAGATGCAACTTTTCTTGAGACTTTCATACAAGGCAATGGACGGATAATGTTAACCTGCTAAAGAAAACATACTGACCACAGGGGGAAAACGCAAATACAACATAAACAAATGTAGCACATCTCTGCCTAGTTAAAGTAATATCCCACAACACTGCACCACCTTGCCAAGCTAAGTGACATGTATTTATTGTATTTGGTTAGGTTGTACGCTGCAGCATGTATTTGGAGGTTTAAAGGGCATTCCGAGGGAATCTGTTCTCTCCCTGCACTGAGTGGGTCCTAGGGATCAACTCAGATCTTCAGTCTTGACCCCAGGAGTCTTGAGTCATCTTGGCCTGCCCCAACTCTGACATATTTAAGTACTAAAGTTGTATGTCATGATGGATTTGATCTCTTTAGATTGCAGGTTTCACTCTTCCATATGATACTCTGGATCAAGTGAGGAACCGGCTAGAAGAGGTCTCTCCTAATCTTGTTCGATACGATGATGTTGAAGGAGCTAATTACTTTCAGCAAGCAAGTGAGCTTGCCAAGGTAAAAGCTTGCCTGTGTGCAGTTTCCTGATGGTGTTTATCTGGCACAATAGTACTGGTTTTCAGTCCGATTATTGGTCTCTTCTTTTTTCAGCTAGTGAACCAGGAACTTCTTGCTGACCCACTTGTTCCTCCTCAGCTGACTATAAAAGACTTCTATATGACAGGTGAGTAACTCTCAGTCGACTACCGATACTCAGAGAGAGTCAGAGGACCTCCTTATCTCTGTAGCTGTTTGTGCGTGGCACTGTTGGCTGTTGATCAGAAGATCTTGTGTTTTGACATTTATGTGTGTAGGGGAAAGCACACACTCTCCGTGAAGAGTGTGGAGCTTAGAGGACAACTAGTGGGAATCCAACTCCAGTCACTAAGCTTGGTTCCAAACACCTTTCTTCACTGAGCTACCTCACTGACCTCTAATCTGAAATTGTCAACCATTAAAACTAATGTCATTTAGGAGGCAGGGCTGGGGCTGACAGCTCATTTTGTACATGATAAGCTGGGCACTATACCCTAGTTTTCTAGCTTTTTGTGTTTGTGACATGTATGCAAAGTTTGAACACCCAAAAGGTTTAACAGATTTTAAATATAAAATTTTAATATTATAAGAAAAATTACTGAATGACATTCAGGGAGAATTTTTCAAAGTACTAAAAAAGCTCTCATGGCTGGAGAGATGGCTCAGTGGGTAAGAGCACTGATTGTTGTTCTTCCAGATGACCAAGGTACAATTCCCAGCACCCACATGGCAGCTCACAACTGTCTGTAACTCCAAGTCCAGGGGACCTGATACATTCATACCAATGCACATAAAATAAAGTTAAATAAATAATTTTTTTTAAAAAACCAAGTTTAAAAAAAGAACTCAAGGTTTGTCTGAAAATTATAGATGGAGTATTTAAATATGAAGTATGCCAAACAGGGCTCCTGAGGTAAATCGTTAGAGATTTTTTAAGTAATATAGTCTTGCAACAGGCTTTCTTTTGGGCCACCAACCAGCTCCCAGATCATGACACGGAGACTTATTCTTAGTTACAAATGCTCCACCTTATCTAAGGCTTGTCCCACTAGCTCTTATACTTTAATTTAACCTGTTTCTCGTCATCTAGGTTTTGCCTCGGGGCTTTTTACTTTTTTTCATTCTGTGTGTCCTACGCCATGTCTGTCTGGTGGGCATCTCCCTCATCTTCTCTCCTCTTTCCTCTCTTGAGCCTAGATTCCTCCTCCTACTTATTCTCTCTGCCCGCCAGCCCTGCCTATCCCTCTGCTGCCTAGCTGTTGGCCATTCAGCTTTTGTGTTTGTTTGTTTGTTTTTGTTTTGATTTATTTTGTTTTTTGGTTTTTCAAGACAGGATTTCTCTGTGTAGCTTTGGAGCTGTCCTGGATCTCACTTTGTAGACCAGACTGTCCTCCAACACACAGAGATCCTCCTGCCTCTGCCTCCCAAGTGCTGGGATTAAAGACATGTGCCATCCCCACCCAGCTTTTAATTTATTAAAACCAGAGAGAGAGTGAGTGAGTGTGTGTGTGGGTGCGTGCAGGTCTGTACATGTCATGTCATACTTGTGGAGGTCAAAGGACAACTTTCCAAAGCGAGTGCCCTCTTTCCATCATGTCGAGGCTGAGATTCTCTTGCTTTTTCTGCCATGCTTTGTATTCCAGGCCAAGCTACAGAGTGATTTTCTTAGTCTCCAGTGCCCATCTTGCCATAGGAGTTTGTGATTACTGATGAGTGCCTGTATGTCAAGCTTTTACATTGGGATACAGAGTTCAAGCTCAGCTCATCAGGCCTTTTCCAGCCCCTGGGTGTTTTTTGTTTTGTTTTTAATTCTATGTAGCCAAAGGTTGACCTTAGACTCATAGCAATCCTCCTGTATCAGCCTGTTGCTAGATGACTATGAGCACGAGCTACCCTATCTAGCTGATAAACGGTTGTATCTTTTTTTCTTAGATTTTTAAGAATTTCCTATCATTTAATTTTTTTTATACTGGTATGTTATCTAGCTCTTATGTGATTATTTAATTATTGCTAGATATTAAGAGCAGTTAGCCAGAAAGCTGTAGTGGTAAACAGGAAGTGGAGGCAGGAGGATCATACTTTAAGGAGGTCATCCTTGGCTTCATAGACAGCCCAAGATACATAAAACCCTTGCTTAAAAAATCTCGGCCAGGAAAAAAAAATCTCGGCCAGTAAAGAGCTTATGTGCAAAATGTATTGCTTACTTATAATTGCATTACAGCCTCACTATTTTTTGTTCTTGAATATGTGCAACATGAAATTTTTCGGTGTAATCTCAGCACTCGGGAATCTGAGCAAGGAGGCTCACCCTGAGTTTGAGGCTAACTTGGTATACTATTGAGTTCCTGTCTGGCCTGAAATCTGAGACACTGTTTCCAGAACAACAAAGGAAGTTGTATTAACAAACTGCATGTTCTTAATGTCTTTCAGACTCAATTAGCAGAGCTTCACAGACAATGGCCAAGTGTGTCAAAGCTGTCACAGAGGGCGCTCAGGCGGTCGAGGAACCATCCATATGCTGAGACATCCACCAGGGACCCAGGCTTGTGTAGATAGTACATGGACATTGGTGTAATCCCTTACAAGTTAATGTTTTCCAATGTGATTCTGATGATGTAATATTTAAATTATACTATGCTTATTTGAAAATGCTATTGCACTTACCAAAAGTCTTGGCAGTTTAAATTATGTATTATGTGCACACATTAAGTAGTTTAATAAAACTGTCATTTGTTCTTTTGTGTTAAAAACACTGATCCTTAACATGTGAATTTTGTTTATTTTCATAGATCTTTTTGTTTCAAATGGATGAAATGAGAGGCCTTTCAGGGCTAGGGACGTAGCTCATTGGTAGAGTGGTTGCCGAGCATGTGTGAGGCCAAAAACTGAGCTCCTGAAGTGTAAGGAAACAACAGAGAACTGGGAGTCGGTGGCGCACGCCTTTATCCCAGCCCTTGGGAGGCAGAGCCAGGCGGATTTCTGTGAGTTTGAGGCCAACCTGGTCTACAGAGTGAGTTTCAGAACAGTCAGGGCTACACAGTTTTTAAGTTTTTTGTTAAAATGAATTAATAGAAATGTGGGACTGGAGAGATGGCTCAGCTATTAAGAGCATTAGCCGTTCTTCCAGAGGACAGGGTTTGAGTCCCAGTACCCACAGAGTGGCTCACAACTGCCTGTTACTTCAGTAGTTCCAGGGGATCGATTTCCTCTTCTGGCTTCTGAGGGCAGGCTCCAGGCATGCATGTGGTACATAACCCACATGTAGGCAGAATACCCATATGCATAAACTAAAACAAAAAGTAATCAGCCAGGCAGTGGTGGCACACACCTTTAATCCCAGCGCCCAGGAGGCAGACACAGGAGGATCTCTGTGAGTTCAAGGCCAGCCTGATCTCCAGAGTGCATTCCAGGACAGCCAGGACTGTTACACAGAGAAACCCTGTCTCAGAAAAAAATAAAATTAATTAATTAAGAAGAAAGTAAGTATCTTATAATTAACTTAGGAGATGTGATTCAAAAGTAGGTAAAGGAATTTTCTGATGTTTGGTTTTATCTGTAGTTACGAGGATTGAATGCAGGCCTCAAGCAGGCTGGGCAAGTGTTCTCCCGTAGCAGTATAGCCTCAGTACTGGTTTTTTGTTTTATTTTGAAAAGAATTTCAAAATTCTTTTCTTTTGTAATCCTCATTTCTTTCTCCCTTCACCAAAACCCCAAGTGTAGGATGCGATTTTCGTCGCCTAAGAAACAGTGTGGTTCTAGAGTAGTGTGGTGTGCCATCCCTGCTTACAGAGCTGCACAGGCTGAGTGCTGACACTATGCTCAGTGTGTGCGGCCCCAGCTCCACTTCCCTGCACAGATTACTGTACAGTTTGTCAACAACTTTTCCCAGAAATACTTGACTTGGGTGATATGTCTTGAAGTTGTGTACTTGACGTGGGGCTAAGGGTGTAGCTCAGTGATAGAGCATGTATGTGGACCTAGGTTCTCACCCAGCACACTCAAAAGTACTTTGCCTAAAACTCCCTAGTTGCCTGAAAATATAAATTCTAAGTGTTTGAATCCAATACAGATTTCCTATGCTTCCCAGTATTCTTTACCATTCAGCACCGCTGGTCTCGAAGGGACAAACTCCAGGTTTGTGTTTCACACAGTGCCCTCCAGTGAAGTGGATGCTCCAGTGGAAAGGATACAGCCACGTGGATCCAGCATCCTTGGACCACCCTCTGGGTACTAAGAATTCCTTAGATACTCACAGCAAGCGTGGGTTCTTTGAGTAAAGGGTCTTGCTACGCTGCCCAAACTTAGTCAGATTTACTGAGTTTTGCTTCTAAGAGTAAAATAAAACTTGGATCAGCAGAGGAAAACTGCATGGCCATGATAGAGAGGACTCTGAGAAAAGTCAAAGCTGCTGAAGTGTATACATGAGGACAGGTGGGGTCCCTTTTTTTTTCCTTCAGTTTTTCAAGACAGGGTTTCTTTGTGTAGTCCTGGAACTCACTCTGTAGACCAGGTTGGCCTTGAACTCAGAGATCAGCCTGCCTCTGCCTCCCCGAGTGCTGGGATTAAAGGCTTGTGCTGTGACAAATGGCTTCTTTTGCCACCATGTATCATTAGGTAATATAAACATAAACTTGAACTCATATAATTCTCCTGCTTCAGCTTCCTGTATAGCTCAGACTACATGACTGCCACCACTGATTGCTGCTAACTTACTAAAGCATTTCTTTGCCAGGATCAAACCAATCTTGTCTAACTTTGGAAGAGTTGAAAATTTTTTTAAGATTTATTTATTAATTATGTATACAATGTTCTGCCTGCATGTATGCCTGCACATCGGAATAGGACACCAAATCTCATTATAGATGGTTGTGAGCCACCATGTGGTTGCTGGGAATTGAACTCAGGACCTCTGGAAGAGCAGCCAGTGCTCTTAACCTCTGAGCCACCTATTCAGTCCATGAGTGGGAATTGTTTAACGTTGTTTCTTCATTTGTAAGCTGAGGATGAAAATGATAACTACCACCTTCAACCCCATAGTTAAATCTCAAAGTTTATAAAACCTTTGGCCAGTTCCTGACACAGCATTCAACCCACTCAGTAGCTGAGGACCCCGTTGTAAATGCAGACTCAAATGTTACTGGCAGCTTCAGGAGACTGCAGGGAAAGCCTGTTGCTGAGTCCTTGATCCTAAATTGAAAGTCACCATCTAAGTGTGTCAGGGAATTTAGTTCCTAGACTGAGGGATAACCATGCTTTCTATAACCTCCAGTTTATATTTTCCAAAAAATAAAAAAATAAAAATAAATAAAGCCGGGCGGTGGTGGCGCACACCTTTAATCCCACCCAGCACTCGGGAGGCAGAGGCAGGCCTGGTCTCCAAAGCAAGTTCCAGGAAAGGCACAAAGCTACACAGAGAAACCCTGTCTCGAAAAACAAACAAACAACAAAAAAAGAATAATAATAAAAAATAAATAAAATAAAATAAAATGCCCTCCTCTCCCAGATTCTGAGAAATTTAATGAATTCTCCAGAGGTAACCCAGTCAACAATGCTACCACCACAGACCATGAAAACTAATTTATTCCGTAGACATTCTGTATTTATTTTGATAGAATTGTTAACAGTTGAAGCCTAATTTACTGAGTGTTGTGTTGTGCGTGTGTTTTTTCCTGTTTGGTTTGTTTTGTGACAAGATGTCATGTATTCTGGACTGGCTTCAAAGTCACTGTGTGGCCAAAGAGAGCCTTACCTCCCGAGTCTCCTTCCTTTGTCTCTTGAGGACTGGAGTTACAGCTGTGACGCCATGCTTGGTTTCTGAGTAGCTTCTGAGAGCCGAACTGAACAGTGCCCTCAGAAGAAGAAAGCCACACTCAGTACTGAAGGAGAGTCGAACCACTGAGTGTGTGTGTATTTGTGTCAGGGCCAGCATGTGATGATAAATCGTCAGCCTGTTACAGACAGGAGCACTTCACCACTGGTCAAGCTATCGGTGCAAAACTAGAGCAAGTTTAACGACCAAAGCACTAGTGTATGTTTGTTTTTAATGTGAACATGGGAGTGGGAAGGGGAGGGGTGCGGACCTGGAGAAGTTGCTGGGTGATTAAGAGCATCTCTGCTCTTCCAGAGGCCCTGGGTTTGGTTACCAATACCCACATAGCAGCTCACAACTCGATGATTTCAGTGCTTGGGAGTCGGGGTGTATGTACATATGTATGCTAGTGCACACACCGAAGTGTTCAAAGAGGCCAGAGGATGGCATCAGGTGTCTTCTAGTAATACTCTTCTTGTTCCTTTGAGGCAGGGTCTCTCCCCAGACCAGAAGCCCATGGTTTTCATCTAGGCGGCATCCAGCAAGCCTCATCAGTCCTTCCGGCTCCACCTCCACAGCACTGGCTTCTGGGCATTCAGGGCCCCACAGTTGTGCAGCAAGTGCTGTTAACCACCGAGCCATCTCTCCAGCCTTAATCTTTTAAATAGACCAAAGAAACTTGGCTTTGAACCTATAATTGTGTTTGTTTTGATTTTCTTCAAGCAAAGGCTTGCTTTGTAGCCCAGGCTGAGCTCAAACTTCCAATCTTTCTGATGTTGCCTCCTGATTGCTGGAATCACAGGCCCGCACCACCACCACACCTGGCTCAAGTCAGAGGCGTTTCAGGAGATGATTCTCTGGTAGGTCGCCAATGGGTTGTGTAGCCTGGACTACTACAGGTAAGCATGGGTTTCAAATGAAGTACTAATCCTCGAAGAGAATTTTTAGCACTGTAGTTTGTATGCAAGATCAAACTCCAAACCCCAAACTATGGTTATAGTCTCTTCTGTTCCATTACCATTTTATTGGGCTTAACTACATACAGAGAGAGAGAGAGAGAGAAAGCGGGGGAGAGAGAGAGAGAGAGAACCACCACCAGCTTGCAAGGCAAGCACTTTACCAGCTGAGCTTCTCCCTAGCCTCTCCTGTATTATTTAGCAAAATAAGTGAGCTTCCTGCCAGAAGATGGAATGTCACCTTAACACTGAGATGAGAATTACTCTGTGAACAACAGAAAGGAAGCAGGATGTCTGGGGACAAATCAGGACCACTGAGCCTGTGGAAGCTTTTCTAAGACTTTAGAACTGCCCTGTGCTCTGACTGGTAGGGTGAACTCGCCTCACTGTTAACCAGCAGAAGCATCTGTTTGCTTTCTAAGTTCTGGGATAGTGTTGAAATATAAAAGGAAGCCGGGCAGTGGTGACACATGCCTTTAATCCCAGTTCTCTGGAGGCAGAGGCAGGCAGATCTCTGAGAGTCTGAGGTCAGCCTGGTCTACAAAGTGAGTTCCAGGACAGCCAGGGCTGTTACACAGAGAAACCCTGTCTTGAAAAAAACAAAAAAAGAAAGAAATACAAAAGGAACAGGCATGGCTTACTTTAATGAATCTACTTACCAAAGAGAAAAGCACACATACACACACACACACACACACACACCCCGTGTTCCTGTGCCTGTGCATGTGTGTGAGTGATTTTTTTCACTCAGAATCAGAAGCACCACAAGTTCCAAGCTTGGCTGACATAGTTTTAAAAATAAGTTGTGAACTGGTGAGATGGCTCAGCAGGTGAAGGCACTGGCCACCAACCTGAGTTTGCACCCTGGGACTCCATGGTGGCAGGAGAGAACTGCCTCCTGAAAGTTGTCCTGACCTCCACCTGCAGACCATGCCACCTGCACACACGTACACAAAGAAGTGCATTTTATTTTGTTTTGGATTGGGGTTTTTGAAACAGACCACTCATAGCCCTGGCTGTTCTGGAACTCATTATGTAGATCAGGCTGGCCTTTGAAATAATAGATCTGCCTGTCTCTGTCACCCAGTGCTGGGATTAAAGGTGTGCACCACCGTGCCCAACTTGTAATAGATTTTTTTTTTAAAGCCTTTTCTTTCTTTCTTTCAATGCTGGGAGAAAGTTACTGTGTATCTAAGGTGTGTCATTGCATAGATAAAGCTAAATAATAATAAAGTAACTCTCTTCCTGTAGCTTCCCAAGCTACATTTTTTGTTTGCTTAGCTAGAACTACACAGCCACACCTCTTCATGGGGTGTGTCTTGTTTTGCAAGGGCAGACCTGAGGGAATGGTCAGTCGGGGATAAGTATCCCTGGACAGCACTATTCCCTTGGGAATTGGGTTGATTTCTCAGTCACTAGTGTGCATCCTCTATGATCTACACCCTTCATTATCCGCCACGTATGTGTACTTAGTCTATTTGGTCCATCCCCTTTCAAACCTTTGTTCCCTGAGGGTGGGGGAGGCGTTTTACTGTTCCCACCAGCTGTGCCTGCTGGCTTCCCTCTAATGTGCTTACCTCAGGTTTCCCACTCACGGTACCATCTCGTGTATTATATAAGTGACTAAGGCCAGGAGTGATGGCACACACCTGTAATCACACTCGAGCGATGGAGGCAGGAGGAACAGGTCGTCAGGTTATCCTCAGCTACATGAGCCCCTGCCTCAAAAAGAGAAAAAAAAGGTGAAACTTCTTTCCGAAATTTCTGCATTATGTGCTCTATACTTGGCTTACAAAATATATTACTTTTTGGGAAAAATGGGGTAATTCCTGTTGAAAAATGGGATAGTAGGACAAACAGTATGATTTTAGAAAAATCTGATATCCTGTGTAAAATCCATTGAGTGCCAAAAGAGATGTCTATTTTTTTTATTCTAGATTTTATTATGTCTGTGTTTTCCTGTGTGTATGTATGTGTGCCATGTGCATGCAGTGCCCAAGGAGGCCAGAAGAGGGCCTCAGATCCCCTGGGACTAGAGTTACAGGTGCTTGTGAACCGCCTTGTGGATGTTGAGAATTGAACCTCAGTTCTCTGGAAGAGCAGCCAGTGCTCCTAAGCACTGAGACATCTTTAGAGCCCTCTAATTCCTAATATATTTGGTGCCAGGTGTAGGGTACACTCCAGTAATGCCAACACTCAGGAGGCTAGGACAGGAAGTTGGAGTGTAGGAGTTGGAGCCGCTCAGGAACTGCATAATGAGTTCAAGACTAGCCTGGGATGTCGAGTGAAACTGTCTCAAGAACAGGTCACCGTAAACTTTCTTGTAGCACGAATAGTTAGAAGGTCTTATTAATAAAAACAAACCCGGGGCCAGGTATTGGGGTGGCTGCTGGAAGATCAGAGAAGCAGAACAAGCCACAGCCACCTCACCTCGCCATTTCCTCAGCTGATCCTGTTTCTTCAGACTGGAAGCCTCTGTGTCCTTATCCGAATGGATCTTAGCTGAACTGTTGCTCAAAAGCCTGAAAGCTTAACCAGCTCTAGTTCCTGGTTTTCACGCCTTTTATACCTTTCTGCTTTCTGCCAACACTTCCTGGGATTAAAGGGGTGAGTCACTATGTCTGGCTGTTTCCAGTATGACATTGAACTCACAGAGATCCGAATGGATCTCTGCCTTTGGAATGTTAGGATTAAAGGCGTGTGTGCCACTATTTTCTGGCCTCTATATCTAGTGGCTGTCCTGTTCTCTGACCCCCAGATAAGTTTATTAGGGTGCACAATATATTGGGGAACACAATATCACCACACTTTCTGACTGGAGTTGGTTTCTCCAGTGACATTTCTGGTTTAACCCTCTAAGTACCTGTGTAAAAGAAGCAGTTCTATGAGAACATGAAATACAACCTGCAATGGGGTAGAAAGAGATCCCTAAGAGCTTTTACTGCTTCTAATACAACAAACAGCTCTTACCGCTAAGTAAGGACTGTGCCTACTCAGTGTTACGTTCTGGGCAGTATCCAGTGTGTTCTTATGTGAACACTGATGTTAACTCTATTCTTCATGCCTGGTGCCGGTGTTGAATAGAACAAGCCAAATGCTTACCCCTGAAATAAAGTAATTTTGCTTAGGCATTCAAATGCAGGGCAAGAAAGTTTATTAAATAGGCTCGTCTGTCCAGGAAGAGGCCATGCCTCTCTCCTTGAGAGCACTTCCTTCATGCTTTCTGATTCAGCATGTATACACAATTAAGTTGTTTCTGTTCGTCTCTAATGCAGGGTGGTTTATGTACACATTGTAGGCCAAAAGGATGCCACACATCCCTTTCCTGCCGTTGTCTCAGGCCCACAGTCCTTTGTCCTAACACGGGAGTGGAAGAGGACATCCAACATTCTCCTCAAGCCTTAAGTGTGCATGGATGAGTATACCCTCCATATACCACACACATTTCTAATTGTATTTTTAGCTTATGTATATTTTGTTTGACTTTTTTTTTGTTTGTTTTGTTTTGTTTTTTGAGACAAGAGTTTCTCTGTTGTAGTTTTGTTACCTGTCCTGGATCTCTGTAGACCAGGCTGGCCTCGAGAGATCCGTCTGCCTTTGCCTCCCAAGTGCTGGGATTAAAGGCCTGCACCACTACCACCTGGCTTTTTGTTTAACTTCTAAGTCGTATTTCTTTTCTTTTTTTCTTTTTCTTTTTTTTTTTTTTCTGGAGCTGAGGACCGAACCCAGGGTCTTGCGCTTACTAAGCAAGCGCTCTACCACTGAGCTAAATCCCCAACCCACTAAGTCATATTTCTTGCAGTCATATTTTTATAAAACTTTCAATTACCTTGAATAATATTCATTTTTACTGACAATATCCAAATTTCAAAGATTTCTACAAGTATGAATTAAAAACATAGCCGGGTGGTGGTGGTGCACACCTTTGATCTCCGTACTTGGGAGGCAGAGGCAAGCAAATCTCTTGAGTTTGAGGCCAGCCTGGCCTACAAAGTAAGTTCCAGGACAGCTAGGACTGTTACATAGAGAAACCTTGTCTTGAAAAATGGAAAAAAAAAAATTTTTTTTTCCTTTCCACATGAGGTGGGTTTTTGTTGTTATTTTGTCATGTTATATATGTATGTATGTTTGTTTGACATAGGGTCTCACTTTGTAGCTCAGGCTGACCTGGAACTCACTAATGTAGACCAGGCTGGCCTTAAACTCATAAGAGACTTGCTTGCCTTTGCCTTGAGTGCTGGGATTAAAGAAATGTAATATTTCACCTGGCCTATCTTTCTGAGAAAGGGTCTCGTGTAGCCCAAACTGGCCTTGAATTTGCTATGTAGTCAAAGACAACTTTGAAGTCCTGATTCTATTGCCTCCATCTTGCATGTACTGGGGTTACAGGCATGTCACACCACACCTCACTTAGGTCTCTCTCTTTCCCCTCCCTCCTTCCCTCCTTTCTCTTTCTCTTCCCTCTTTCCCCTCCCTCCTTCCCTCCTTTCTCTCTCTTTCCTTCTTTCTTTCTGCTTTTTTCACTTGTAATGTTTTTGAAGAAGGGTCACATTATATAGCTCTGTCATAAAACTCAGCACTATCAAGCTGGCCTTGAGTTCTTAGCAATTCTCCTGCCTCAGCCCCTGCATACTCAGATTACAGACAATTACCTCCACACCACTTAATACAGTTTTTTTTTTTAATGTAGGTGTGGGCCAGGGAGAGATGGCTAATTGATTCAAAGACCTCCACAAAAAGATGAGGACCTGAGTTCAGATCCCCAGAATTCACACAGATGCTGGGTGTGGATGGGTGTGGTAGCCACCTGGAATAGCAGCCTTGGAAGATTAGAGACAGGTTCCCCAGGGCAAACTGACTAGTAAGACTAGCCCACCAACTCTGGGTTTCATTGAGAAACCCTGTCTTACTGAATAAGGTGAAGGGGTGAAAAGCCTTGACATCAACTGCAGGCCTCCACATGCATGCTTAAACATACACGCACACCCTCACACCTGCAGACATGTGGACACGCACATGTGCACCAAGCACAAACACATGAAAAGAAAAAAAACTACATGATGTAGGACTGGGAAACTTGCTTCAAGAACATGAAAAGAGCCGGGTGTGGTGGCGCACGTCTTCAGTCTCAGCACTTTGGGGGTAGAAGGGTCTCCTGAGTCTCAGGCCACAAAGCAAGTTCCAGGATATCCAGGGCTACACAGAAACCCTATCTCAAAGGAAAAAAAAAAAAAAAAGAAGAAATGAAAACGTACTCTGGAGGTCTTAAGTAGGAAAACACATTCCCATGAATGAAATACTTAGGCTGTCACATGTGAGAACTGTTCTGGGGTTAGAAAGGTAGACTGCTTGGCTAGCATGGACAGAGAGCCCTGGGCTCAAATCCTAGCACTGCACAAAAGTGGGCATGCTGGCACTTATCTGTAATCCCCACTCTCAGGAGGTGGAGTCGGGATCAAAGCTAATATCTTCCTCGACTACACAGCAAGCTTGGGGCCTACCTAGGACACAAGGCCCTGTCTCAAAAAAACCCTTCATATATAAGCAGGATTGTGATGTAAATCTAAATCTGTAAAGCATTTAGTTTACTTCTGAGATTTTCACCTTGTATATTTTCTGTCTGTTGAAATTACATATTTCAACTGTGACAAAGTTGGGAGACATCGTTAAGCTGTGAACAGAATTCGAAGCAACCATGATGTCTAGCACTACTTACTGGTGGCAGCACTGTGAGAGATCCATCATCCATTTATTGAGAGAGAAAGCTGTAGGATCAGTTCTCAAGTATGACTCTAGCTCCATCATTGATAAGCTACTACCACCATTTTAGACATTTTTCATTATTGTAACCATAACTGAGAAACAACTCAAGAGGAAAGATTTGTTTTGATTTTGTTTGCAGTCCATTGGATCTGGGAAGATGTAGGTGCTGCTCCTTCAAGATCACTAGGAAACAGATGGAGAAATGGCGGGCTTCTTCACTCCTTCCCTTTATTTATTCCTCTGGCCCACAGACATTGAGTGGTGTCGTTCACATTCCAGGAAGGCTCCCCCTCCACACATACCTTAGCCAATGCTCTGGAAGTGCCCTCACACAGTGTGCTTTACAAATCTAAGCACTTCTCAATCTAACCCAGTTGAGGATACTAACAGTCGTAGGGGATGGAGAAGTAGCTCAGTTGGTAGAGTGTTTAATGAGCATGTACAAGGCTCTGGGTTCCATCTGTAGCACCTCATAAGCATCAACTGGACATGGTAGCATAGCGCCTGTGTCTTAGTTTGGGTTCTATTGCTGTGAAGAGACACCATGACAACAGTAACACTTTGTTTTTATTTTTTTTTAATTTATTTATTATGTATACAATGTTCTGTCTACATGCATGCCTGCATGCCAGAAGAGGGCACCAGATCTCAGATGGTTGTGAGCCACCATGTGGTTGCTGGGAATTGAACTCAGGACCTCTGGAAGAGCACTCAGTGCTCTTAACCTCTGAGCCATCTCTCCAGCCCAGACCACAGCAACTCTTATAAAGAAAACATTTAATTGGGGTGGCTTACTTACAGGTTCAGTGATTCAGTCCATTATCATGGTGGGAAGCATGGTAGTGTGCAGGCAGATGTGGTGCTAGCTACAACTTGGTTTGCAGGGAACAGGAAGTCGACCGAAACATTGGGTGGTATCCAGAGCATAGGAAACCTCAAAGCCCGCCCCCACAGTGACACATTTCCTCCATCATGGCCACACCCACTCCACCAAAGCCACACCTGCTAATAGTGCCACTCCCAGGAGATTATGGGGGCCAATGACATTCAAGCTGCCTGTAGTCTCAGCTCTTCAGAGGTGGCCACAGGAGGATCAGAAGTTCATGGTCCAGCTAGAGAGATGGCCCAGCAGTTAAGAGCACTGGCTGCTCTTCCAGAGAACCAGGTTTGATTCCCAGCACCCTATGGCAGCTCACAATCATCTGTAACTCCAATCCCACGAACCCAGTGCCCTTTTCAGACCTCCATGGGCACTAGGCATGCACATGGTCTACAGACATTGTGGTGCTTTGAATAAGATTGGTCCCCATAGGCTCATAGATTTGAATGCTTGGTCATTATGAAGTGGCACTATTAGGAGGTGTGGCCTTGTTGGAGGAAGTGTATTACTGGGGTGGGCTTTGAGGTTTCAGATGTTCAAGCCAGGCCCAGTGTGTCTCTCTCTTCCTGCTGCCTTCAGATTCACATGTAGAACTCTTGGATCCTTCTCCAGCACCATGTCTGCCTGCATGCCACCATGCTTCCTGCCATGATGATAATGGACTAAACCTCTAAACCTATAATATAGTTTTTTGTTTGTTTGTTTGTTTGTTTTTGTTACTCTTTGCTCTTTGAGGGGCCAATAAATACACTGAGGCTTATTCTTACTTCTAAATGCCCAGCCTTAGCTTGGCTTGTTTCTTTTTTTTTTTTTTGTTTTTGTTTTTTCAAAACAGAGTTTCTCTGTGTAACAGCCCTGGCTATCCTGGAACTCACTTTGTAGACCAGGCTAGCCTCAAACCCAGAGAGATCCGCCTGCCTCTGCCTCCTAAGTGCTGGGATTAAATGTAACACATCTTTGTATCATTAAACAAATATTACAAAGCATAAACAAATATAACACATCTTCAACTAATATTCCACAACACTGTAAGCCAGACCCAGTTAAATGTTTTCCTTTATAAGAGTTGCCATGCAAAAGACATGGTCAATAAGACAAAAAGACAGCCTACAGAATGGGAACAAACCTTCACCAACCCTACATCTGACAAAGGACTGATCTCCAAAGTAAGAGTCCACAACAGCACACCCCACCAAGAAACTAGACATCAAAATACTGAACAATCCAATTAAAAAATGGGCTAAAGAGCTAAACAGAGAATTCACAAAAGAAGAATCACAAATGGCTGAAAGACATTTAAAGAAATGCTCAGCATCCTTAATCATCAGAGAAATGCAAATCAAAACGACTCTGAGGTATCATCTTACACCTATCAGAATGGCTATGATCAAAAACACTAATGACAGTCTATGTTGGAGAGGATGTGGAGCAAGGGGAACACTCCTCCACTGTTGGTGGGAGTGCAAACTTGTACAACCACTGTGGAAATCAGTATGGCGGTTTCTCAGAAAATTGGAATCAATCTACCTCAAGATCCAGCCATACCACTCTTGAGCATATACCCAATGAATGCTCAATCATACCACAAAGATACATGCTCAACTATGTTCATAGCAGCACTATTTGTAATAGCCAGAACCTGGAAACAACCTAGATGCCCATCAACTGAAGAATGGATTAAGAAAATGTGGTATATATACACAATGGAGTACTACTCAGCAGAGAAAAACAATGACAGCATGAAATTTAAAGGCAAATGGATGGAACTAGAAAATAATCATCCTGAGTGAGGTAACCCAAACCCAGAAGGACAAACGTGGTATGTACAGTCTCATAAGTGGATTCTAGATATAAAGCAAAGAACAATCAGACTGCAACCCACAGAACCAGGAAGGCTATATAGCAGGGGTGACCCAAGGATGACTGTGGCTTATAATAAGTTTTGGTTTTACTTCACTTTTACTGGGCAAGCCTCAATGAAACATTTCACTATTAGGATAAGAATTTATACTGTATCAAGCTGATAATAGAAAAATTAACTAATTAATTAATTTTAAAAAAAGAGTTGTCATGGTTGCCGGGCGGTGGTGGCACACGCCTTTAATCCCAGCACTCGGGAGGCAGAGGCAGGTGGATCTCTGTGAGTTCAAGGCCAGCCTGGTCTACAAAGCAAGTTCCAGGAAAGGCACAAAACTACACAGAGAAACCCTGTCTCAAAACCCCACCCCCCAAAAAAAGAGAGTTGCCATGGTCATGGTGTCTCTTCACAGCAATAGAAACCCAAACTAAGACAGACAGACATTCAGGCAAAACACTCATACAAATAAAGTAAAACTTTTTTTAAGTTCATGGTCATCTTTGGCTTCATCGCAAGTTCAAGTCCAGTCTGGGATACGTGAGAGCTTGTCTTAAAAAGAAAGTTAACTGTCATGGTAATCCATTACTATTATCTGTGAGATGCTGGTAATAACACTTACACATTTATTAGTTATTGCTCCTTTATTTTTGAGACACTATCCCAGGCTGGCCTGAAACTCATTGTGTACCCAAGAGAACTCTGTGCAATCCTGCTGCCTCAGCCTATAAAATATCGGGATTATAGGCGTGCTGTAGCAGGCCACCAACCAGGTCCCCAGTCATGACATGGAGACTTAATATTAGTTATGAATGCTTGGCCTAGCTTAACTCGTTTCTTTTTTTTTTTTTTTTTCCAGAGCTGAGGACGGAACCCAGGGCCTTGCACTTGCTAGGCAAGAGCTCTACCACTGAGCTAAATCCCCAACCCCAGCTAAATCCCCAACCCCTTGCTTAACTTCGTTTCTTGCTAGCTCTTATAACTTACCTACATCTTGCCTCAGGCTTTTTACCTTTCTTTCCTTCTGTATGTCCTACTCCACCCAGCTGCCTGGCTGCCCCTGGGGGGCTCCCTCTCTTTCTCCCTCTTTCTCTCCTCTCATTCTTCTCTCCAGAGCTTAGATTTCTTCTACTTGTTCTCTCTGCCTGCCAGCCTCACCTCTCCCTCCGCTGCCTAGCTATTGGCCACTCAGCTTTTCATTAGGCCAATCAGGTGCCTTCGGCAGACAAGGTGAAGCAAATGCAACACATCTTTACATCGTTAAACAAATGCAGCACAAACAAAAGTAACATGTCTTTCCATGTTAACAAAGGCAGCAGAACAAGTGTAACACACCTTCACATAGTTAGAGTAAGAGTCCACAACAGCACACCCCACCAAGTGTGGCTGCTAGTGTCCTGTTAAGCATTAAGCAGTTCCACATTTATGAAATTGCTGACTTTGAGATGACCTCTCCATGGAATGCAGGCTTTCCTTGAACTTGTGATGCTTCTTCCCCAGCCTCCTGAGGGCACCAGGGATGGCTGTAGGAATTTGGATTTCTCTTTAGTTTCCTTCTTCTTTGGTACTCTTGGGGTACTTCTGGGCCCTACCCAGACTAGGCATGTGTTCTACCACCTGGCTGTATCTCCAGCTCTCTGAAAATATTCTCCTCCAACAGGATCTCACTGAGCCATGTCTGGCATTTAGCACTCTCTTGCCTCATTTCCTGAGGACCTCGGATTACAGAACTGAACCGCAGACTCATTCCCAAGAGTTTGATCTTTAAAAAGGAATGAAAGTGGGGCTGGAAGCTGCTCAGCAGTTAAGAGCACTTGTTGCTCTCGCAGGACTCAGGTTCAGTTGCCAGTACCCATGTCAGGGGGCTCCCAATGGTCTCTAACTTACAGCTGGGTGAAAATCTGTCCTCTTGGTACAAATATGAAGGAGAAGAGCAGACAGATGGACCAACAGTTTTTCACTGTTGCTGGAGAACAAAATTAAAACCAGTGTCCTGGCAGTGGGGAATTAATGACACTACTTTTATTAAAAATTTAGACTAATGTAAAAATAAAATTTCTTCAAAGTGCCAGACATGGTCATGGCTAATGCCTGTAATCTCAGGACTTGGTTGCCTGAGGCAGGAGAGTTACTGTGAATTTGAGGCCACCGTGAGTTCCAGGCTAGCCCGGACTAGAGTGAGAACTTGCCTCAAAACAAAACACAACAAACACGGTAGAGTTGCTTGGTAGAGTGTTTGCCGTGTATGCACGAAGCCCAGGTTCTGACACCCAGCACCACATAAATGGGGTGTGGTGGCACGTGCCTGGGATCCTAGCACTTGGGAAGTGGAAACTGGATCAGAAATTCAAGGTCATCCCTACACAAGGAATCTGAGATAGGCTAGAGACCCTATTTAAGAAACAAACAAAAGAGCATGGAGTTGATTCTCAGTGGTAGAATACTTGCTTAGCATCTGCGAATCCCTGGTTCAGGCTACCATACCAACAAAATCATTTTCTAAGCAGGGCATTATGATACATTGCAAGCTTGGGATACACAGCAGGGATCCCACCTTAAAACAAAACCAGAGGGGAAGAGAGATGGCTCAGTGGTTAAAACAAAACCAGTTTTATGTTGGAGTGGTCAATTATCTCACTAGTCCAAATATGTTCATGTGGGAAGCAGAGTAGTGGCTCCTAAGGGCGTCATGTCTTGATTCCCTGGACCTGTGAATAGGCTTGCACAAGAGATTCTGGCCGGGCGGTGGTGGTGCATGCCTTTAATCCCAGCACTCAGGAGGCAGAGGCAGGCGGATCTCTGTGAGTTCAAGGCCAGCCTGGTCTACAGATGAGATCCAGGAAAGGCACCAAAACTACACAGAGAAACCCTGTCTTGAAAAAAAAAAAAAAAGATTCTGTATGGGGAGATGACCCTGTATCTCCAGGGGGGCCTACCAGAACCAAAGGGTCTTTATAAGAGCAAGCCATATGGGTCAGAGTCAGAGAGAGCCTGGAAGATCTCACGCTGCTGGCTGTGAAGATGAAAACAGAAGGCCCATGAAGAAAGGCTGTAGATTACCCCTGCTGCCTCTGGGAACAGTGTGATGTTTTTTTTTTTTTTAGATTTATTTATTTATTATGTGTGCAGCATGTATGCCTGCAGGTCAGAAGAGAGCACCAGATCTTATTACAGATGGTTGTGAGCCACCATGTGGGTGCTGGGAATTGAACTCAGGACCTCTGGAAGAGCAGTCAGTGCTCTTAACCTCTGAGCCATCTCTCCGGCCCAACAGTGTGATCTTAATATCTTTGTTGTTGTTTGTTTTGAGATAGAGTGTAGCCAGGAACTAGCTGTTGTGTAGACTGGGATAGCCTCCTTCCAAGTGCCAGGACTAACCACGTGTATAAGTGGAGCATGTGTGCAGGTCGGAGGTCATCACAGCTGACCTTACTAACCATCTTAATTTTAACCAGGGAAATACTATTTTGGATTTTTGTTTCCAGAATGACGAGATAATAAATTTGTGTTGGATGCTGGGCATAGTGGCACACGCCTTCATTAATCCCAACACTTGGGAGGCAGAGGTAGGCGGATCTCTGTGAGTTCGAGGCCAGCGTGGCCTGCAAATCGAGTTCCAGGTCAGGCAAACCCTGTCTTGGAAAACAAAACAGAAGAAAACACCTCTAGAGCAGACAACCATTTCTCCCTCCCTCCCTCCCTTCTTCCCTCACCCTTCTCCTCTCTTTGAAATAGGGTCTCATGTTGTGGTCTCACTTAGTCGTCCAGGCTGGACTCAAATTCGCAGCAATCCTTAACCTCAGGCTTCCTTCCAAACAGTGGGGTTCCAGGAATGTGCCACATGCCCAACTTCATGCAACATTTCCAATTTGAGTCTAGAAGTAGAGAAAGTGTGAGAAGGACTGTATGCAGGGGAAATCTGCTGCCTTTGGAGATGTGGAGCCATGGGACAACAGCCTGGAAGTGTCTTCTAGGAGCTGAGAGGGATTCTCAGCTGCTAGCCAACAAGACAGCTGTTCAGTATCTGATCTCAAGGGATCGACCGACAATCGGACTCAGAGGAGAAGGCAGTCTAACCCACAGGTGGACTTTGCTTTGGGATTCCCAGGTAGCTGCAGGAGGCCAGCCATACTCTTTTGACTCCCAGAAACAGATAATAAATGGGTGTTGCTTTCAAATGTTAAATCTGTGATTTGTTATGGCAGAAATAGTAAATGACATAATTATTAATAATACATTGACATCATGTGCAGGTCATTACAACTGAGATTCTTGCAAAAAATATACTACCCCCATCTAATCATGAAGACAAACAAAAAACACTGGAAAAACCCCAAAGTAAGAGACATTCTACCAAATGAAGAGCAGTAGTCTTCCAGAGTGATGAGGTTAGGAAAGACAGGAAGGACTGAGCAACTGGAACACAGAAAGGATATGAGTGAGAAACTGATGCAATCGGAGAGCAGAGTGCTAGCCACGTTACAAAAACACACCAGTTACTTCTTCCTAGAATCAGAGGGGCCATCCATGTAACTTACAAATTCACCTGCTAGAATTTGTTTTCTTCCAATTGTTTTATTAGTTTTTAACCTGTGTGTGTGTGTCTGTCTGTCTGTCTGTGTGTGTGTACATTGTAGCACACAAGTAGAAATCAGAGGACAATTTTCAGGAATTGGTTCTGTTTCTGCCATTTGGTTTCTGGGGATTAAACTCTGGTCCTCAGGCTTGGTGGCAGGTGCCTTTACCTGCTGAGCCATCTTGCTGGTCCTTCCAACTGTTAAGATGAGAAAGTGTAGGGGGTGGAGAGATGGCTCAATGGTTAAGAGCACATCCTGCCCTTGCAGAGGGCTCAAGTTTGGTTCCTAGCACCCACACAGGGCAGCTCACAACCACCTGTAACTCCAGGTCCAGGAGATTCTGGTCCCTGAAGGCATCTGCACTCACATGCACACACCCATATCTGTAATTAAAAATAACGTTTGGTTTGAGTTTTCATGACAGGGTTTCTCTGTGTGGCCCAGGCTGGCTTGGAAGTCACTATGTAGGTGAACTTTCTCTGTCCTGCTAGACACCCCCAAATAACCATTCAAAGACTTATTCATTATAAATGCTCGGCTGATAGCTTAAACTTGTTACTAATTGCTCCCCTCCCCCTTTTGGTGTTTTTTGTTTTGTTTTGTTTGGTTTTTTTTGAGACAGGGTTTCTCTGTGTAACAGAGTCCTGGCTGTCTTGGAACTTGCTTCGTAGACCAGGCTGGCCTTGAACTCACATAGATCCTCTTGCCTGTGCCTCCCAAATGCTGGGATTAAAGGCATGCACCATCATTGCCCGGCACATTTACTCTTCTGAATCTATAATATTTCATCACAATTGTTAACACTGTTGAACTATGCCATCTTTTGCTTATTTTGTTTTTTGCAAAAAAGAGTTACTTGTAGTCCAGATTGGCTTCAAACTCACTGTACCGCCAAGGATGGATTTGAACTCCCGATCCTCCGGCTTCTGCCTCCCAAATGCCGAGACAACAGGCACTGTCTTTTGAAGCACACCATCTCTTCCAAAATCAAACTGCCTTGCTGGGCATAGTAGCTGTCTCCATAATCCCAGCGTTTGGCGAGTGGAGGCAGGAGGATGAGTTCGGGGTGATCTTCAGCAACATACAGAGTTTGAAGCCAGCCTGAGCAACATGAAACCAAACCAAACAAGCCTACAAAATAAGATTAAAAAAAAATTAAGCTATGGTAAATGAAAACAGAACTATTAACATACACACACCAGGCAACGTAAGTGTTTCAGCTAGGAATCTCTTTTCAAAACTTTGTTACGTCTATGTGTGTGTGGGTGTGTGTGTGTGTTGACATGTGCCGTGGCATGAATGTGGAGGCCGGAGGGCAGCTTTAAGGGCTCAGCTCTTTTCACCACATGGGTTCTGGGGTGGCCTTTATCCACTAATCCATCTCACCAGGTGTCACAGAAGATCTTACAGCATGTAACAAACACTTGTTTTGAGGAGGAAATTCTTTTGCTGGGCCTAATGGAGCACACCTTTTTAAACTGCAGCACTCAGGAGACAGAGGCAGGCAGATCTCTGTGAGTTCGAGGCCAGCCTGGTCTACATAGTTGCTGTGGAATAATCCTTCTGTACCCTGTGAAGATGTGTTTTTGCTCTCATTGTTAACAAAAAGCTGATTGGCCAAGGGCTTCAAGAGAAACCGTCTTAAAAACAAAACAAAACAAAACAAAACAAAAAATATTAATGAGTATAATCCAAAAGTGAAAATTAGGGCAATTAATACATTTGTAAAGGATTTCTAAAAAGATGTACTTGTTTATTTCTCATGTGTAAGAGTGTTTTTCCTGCAAGTATGCATGTGTACCACTAGTGTGAAATGCTCTCAGAGGCCAGGAGAAGCCTCAGAGCCTCTGGAACTGGAGTTAGACTCCGAACTATCACGTGGTGCCGGTGACTGAAACTGGATCCTCCTAACCCCTCACTGAGCTGTCTCTCCAGCCCCTGATGACTGCTTTCTGCTTCTACTTCAAAGTAAAAAGTTAGTGTGTATTGTATAAGAAATGTATGCATGCTCTCTGTCCTTGTTTGCTGACACAAAGCTTCTAAACCTCCCCCCCACACACACACAATTTTCTAGATGACAGATGTAGGTGCCTTCTGTTCTAGTATTTGACCATTATCTCTGGTCCCTCAGAGTTCTGAAAGCTCTTGGAATTCCTGGGTCAAAAGAGTATCTTTCCAATGAGTGACCCTTGACCTGCCCCCAATCACCTTAGGGATGAGTCGTGACCAGAGAGACCAGACCTTGGTCAGAGGCCTGAAACCTTCATTGCCGACCCCGTGGCCCCAGAGAAGGAAAAGGGTCAGGAGACGGAATTAATAATTAAGCATGTCTACGTGACTGACCCTCCATCAGTCCGCCACACGCCCGGGTATGGAAGCTTCCAGGGTGGAGAAAACACCGGAGCTCAGAGGGTGGTACGCCTCTCCAGCCCCTCCTGCTCATCCATTCGGCTGACCCTGGGTGAGAGTCCTCATGATAAACCAGGACTGTTCCTGTTTGTATAAGCAGGTCTAGCAAATCATCAAACTAGAAGTTGTGGTACTCCTGACTTTGTGGCTACGTGGGATATAAGTGTGGGTCGCCTGGGACCTGATGCTTGGGACTAGTGCCTGGAGTGAGGGTTGTCTTATGGAACTGAGCCACTAAACCTGTGGGATCGGATGACAACTTGTGCTAACTGCTGTCACAGTGTCACTTCTGAGCAACTGTACGACACCCCAGTACATCCAGAGAGCTGGGAGGATTGGTTGAAGTGAGGAAACCTGTCCAGAACATGCTTACCTGTTGTTATGCTTGTTGTTTTTTTTTTTTTTTTTTTTTTCGAGACAGGGTTTCTCTGTGTAGCTTTGCTCCTTTCCTGGAACTCGCTGTGTAGACCAGGCTGGCCTCGAACTCACAGAGATCCAACTGTTTCTGCCTCCCACGTGCTGGGATTAAAGGCTTGCACCACCATCGCCGGGCTGTTATTCTTGGTTTGTTCTCTCACCCCCACCCCAACCACAAACTCTGGGTCTTCTTCTAATGTCCAGGTGGACTTCAAACTCTGGGGCTCTTGTGATCTGCTGCCTCCATATCCAGGAGTTGGGACTGCAGACCGACAGACAGACACATGCGTCACTGTGAATAGCAGTGTCAGCAAATAGAACTATAAATACACAAAACCCTCTCTCACTGCTAGGGAGAGGGAGAGAATGACAGACAGAGAGACAGAGAGAAAAATCCCAAGATGGGCTGGGTGGCGGCGCACGCCTTTAATCCCAGCATGTGGGAGGCAGAAACAGTTGGATCTCTGTGAGTTTGAGGGCTGCTTGGTCTATAGAAGGAGTTCCAGGATAGCCAGGGCAGTTATACAGAGAAACCTGTCTTAAAAAAAACCAAAAACCAGCCGGGCAGTGGTGGTGCACGCCTTTAATCCCAGCACTCGGGAGGCAGAGGCAGACGGATCTCTGTGAATTCGAGGCCAGCCTGGGCTACAGAGTGAGTTCCAGGAAAGGCTCCAAAGCTACACAGAGAAACCCTGTCTCAAAAAACCAAAAAAAACCAAAAAACAAAAACAAAAACCCCTAAACAAACAAAAACCAAAAACCAAACCAAAACACACCCCCCCCCCACACACACACACCCCAACCAACAAGCAAACAAACAAAAACAGAGAAGAATCTTTCACTTTTTCTTGTTGCTTTTGTTGGGAAGCCAGGCTTCTTTCCCAACACCCACATGTCGGCTTACAATTGCTAATAACTCCAGCCTGGGGATCCAGAGCCCTTGTCTGGCCTCTGAGGGTACCAGCATTTACATACAAAACACAAATTTATCTTTAAAGAATCTTACATTTTTCTCATCTCAGCTAAGATAGTTCTAGAAGCAAAAGATAATAGCAGCATACTATTCCAGCAAAAAATGAAGATTCCATATTGAAATGCGTATTAACTTTATGTATTTATGTATACATACATATGCATTTGATCTGAGGGAAACAGAAACTCGCTTCTAACAGGAAAGAAAGAAAAAAAAAGATGGCCTGGGAGAATAGTTACATGGTGTTTCTTAGAATGGCATCTTGTATTTTCCTCCAATTCTACTTATCTCTCCCCACTCCCCAGTCCCACATGGTCAGGAACACAGGCCTGCCTCAGACTCTGTTTAACTGAGGATGTCCTTGAACTTCTGATCTTCCTAGGTGCTGGGTTTGTAGGTGTATGCTGCTACGTCCTGTTTATCCAGTGCTGGGGACCGAACCCAGGGCTTCCTGAATGCTAGGCAAACATGTCACCAACAGAACTACATCCTCAGCCCTCCTCATTTTGACATGGAATTGCACTACGTTGCTTAAGCTGGTCTTGAACTCCTGAACTCACAGGAGCGGCCTGCCTCAGCCTCTGTGGTCTGGGATATATGTGTGCACTGCCACACTTGGCTCTGAACCATTGTCTTAGTTTATCTCTTACTTATGACAACATATCTTACCATTAGCAACTATTGTATAAAGTGCTCAGACTCATTGCTCTTCAGTTTATTTATTTTTATTTTATGAGTATGGATGTTTTGCCTAGATGTATGTCTGTGTACTACATGCATGCCTGGTACCCACAGAGGCCAGAAGAGGGTGTTGTGGATCCCTTGGAACTGGAGTTACAGAGAGTTGTGAGCCACTATGTGGGGGCTGGGAATTGAATCCAGGTCTTCTGGAAGAGCAGTCAGTGCTCTTAACTGCTAGGCCATCTTTCCAGTCCTGCTCTTAAATTTTAGGTAACGGTTGGGCACAGTGGCACATGTCTATGATTCCAGTATTAGGTTCAATTGGGAGGATTATTGTGATTTTGAGTCCTGCCCTGGTTACATAGTAATTGAGGTCAGCCAGAACCATATACAGAGACGGTCTTGTTTCAAAAACAGAAACAAGGCTGGGCGGTGGTGGCGCAAGCCTTTAATCCCCCAGTATTCGGGAGGCAGAGGCAGGCGGGTCTCTGTGAGTTCAAGGCCAGTCTGGTCTTCAGAGTGAGTTCTAGGACAGGCTCCAAAGCCACACAGAGAAACCCTGTCTTGAAAAAAACAAAAAACAAAACAAAAAACCAAGAAACAAATCAATAAAATGTAAGTAACAGTTCTCCCTCCCTCCTCAATACAGACATAAAGCCTACCACTTGGCTTAAGGCTGGCCTAACGGCCTTCCCTGAGGTTGATGTTAACATCATCCTGGACAGGGCGACAGGATACATCTGGACATCCTCCCACAAACGGAGGTGAGCCATTGTTGCAGCATTTGAAGGACAAATTCTGTCTGTAGTAGATTACATAATTGCTCTTAATGTATTTAAAATAGGCACACGACTTCTGTGAGAATAGAAATGGTTTATGATTATGAGGATAGTTTTTTTCCCAGTTGAAAGATTGGTGTCCCCCACTCCCCACCCCAAAGATTTAAAATGTTGTATAATGAAACATTCTTATAAATCTTTTGTTAATGTATAGAACCATCTATATTGACAGCGAAACTCGGGGGGAAAAAGGCAAAGTTAACGTTTAAATAAAACTCCATTTATGCCAAATTTTAAAATAAGCTATGTATGGGGCCAGGTGTCGTGTCTTTAATCCCAGCACTCGGGAGGCAGAGGCAGGTGGATCTCTGTGTGTTGGAGGACAGCCTGGTCTACAGAGTGAGATCCAGGACAGCCAGAGCAGTTACACAGAAAAACCCTGTCTAGCATACACACACACACACACACACACAGAAGCTATGTATGATTAGAGCTTGCTGCATGAAAAATGCTGTTTGGGACTGGGGCTATAGCTCAGTTGATAAGTTCTTGTCTAGCAGGCGCGAAGCCCTGGGTTCTATCATCGGTCCTGTATAAACCGGGTGTGTCGGTTCATGCCTGCAATGCCAGGATTCTAGAAGAGGAAGAAAAGGATCAAAAGTTCAAGGCTGGGCTGGAGAGATGGCTCAGAGGTTAAGAACACTGGCTGCTCTTCCAGAGGTCCTGAGTTCAATTCCCAGCAACCACATGGTGGCTCACAACCATCTGTAATGAGATCTGGCTCCCTCTTCTGGCATGCAGGGATACATACAGACAGAACATTGTATACATAATAAATAAATAAATCTTTAAAAAAAAAAAGTTCAAGGCTATCCTTGGCTACAGAGAGTTCTAGGCCATCTTGGGCTGGGGTATGTGAACCCCTGGCTCAAAATCAAAGAAAACAAAAACCCCAACACCTTTTGTTTCTCTCCCCTCTCTCCCCACTCCCTTCTTTCTTTCTTTCTTTCTTACACCCTCTCTTTCGAGCCAAGCATGCTCTTGGACTCGTAGACAAACCTTGTTGAGGGAATCTACTTTCACTGACTAATCACGACCCAGCTGTGTTAGGACTTTCGTTAATTGCCAAATACCTGAAAGAAACAACTGGAAGGGTGGGCAGATTTACTCTGGCTCACGGTCTCAGAGGCTTCTAGGTCACGGTTTGGCAGAGCATCCTGGTAATGGGCAGTTGGGAGTAAAGCTGCTTACCTCCAGGAAACCAGGAAGCAGGAATGCCTAGAAGCGCTGCTGGGGACAAGACACCTCCCTCAAAGGCACACCCTCAGTGGCCCACTTCCTCTAACCAGACCCCACCACTCAATAATGCCATCAGATTATGAATTATCAATGGATCAATCCATTCACAAAGTCAGAGGTCCCTCATGATCTAACCATTTCCCACACGCTTATCAGTTGGCAAATAAGCCCGGTGTCCATGGTAGGGGGTGGCTTCCACCTTCAAACCACAGCACCCATTTTATTTCTTCTTCCACGAGAGGAGCTGTGCATTGCCAGGTTTTGTGTTCTTTTTTAATGGCTATGCAATGATTCCATGTATCTTGTCTGGCTCCTTTGTGTCTGTGAAGCAGGTGACCTAAATTGCATGGACACACTACACTTTGATGAGATGCTCTAGCCTGGGTGACACGGCCTCATTAGTCAACAAACTTCCCATGGATGTGTTCAGCTTTGCCAGCGACTGTGGGAGCGAGTGGGCGGGGGAGGGCACTTTACAACTAGTAATCCCAAGTTTTCCCTCAGATTCCATCACTCCTGTGGATTTAAATCTAAGTCAAGAATGGGGACCATCTATCTATCTATCTATCTATCTATCTATCTATCTATCTATCTATCTATCTATCTATCATCTATCATCTATTCATCTATCTATCTATCATCTATTTCATCAATATCTATCATCTTTTCATCTATCTATCTATCTATCTATCTATCTATCTATCTATCTATCTGACTATCTATCTATCTATCCATCTGACTATCATCTATCTTGTTCACTGTTTAGGGACAGGAAGATGCTACACATTTCACCCTTAAAAACACAGCAGCCGTGTTTCACTTCACTTTTTTTTGGTCCCAATCTAGAGACACACCCTTACACGTGATATGTTAATACCTTTTATTTTTCCTCCAGTGCTAGGGATCAAACTCTAGGCCTTGGGTATTACGGGTAATGGTCTGCCATGGAACCTCAAAACAGACATAAAGGCACCAGAACAAGAGGGCAAAAGAGTGCCAGCCAGACAGGAGGGCAAGGCTGAGTAAAGCTTGGGCAAATTTTACCTGCTTTTTGTCTTATTTCTTTATATTTTTTAAAATTATAATTTATTTACTTGTATTTTATGTACATTGGTCTTTTACCTGCATGTATGTCTATATGAGGGTGTCAGGTCTTGGAATTACAGACCATGGTGAGCTGCCATGTGGGTGCTGGGAATTGAACTCCGGTCCTTCTGGAAGAGCAGTACTCTTAACTGCTAAGCCATCTCTCCAGGCCCATTTCATTTCTTTCTTATTCTGATTTGGAAGGAATTACCTGTTATTGTGTGGTGGTGGAGGAGGCATGGGAGTGTCACCGTGCAGGTGTGATGGCCTGGGGAGAGCTCTGTGGAGCCTGTTCACGCCAAGGGATCGAACCCAGGTTGCCACACTTGTGCAGTGAGTGTCCTTCTCTGCTGAGCCACCATACACACTGGCCCTCCTGGTTATAAGTCTAAAAAAGAGTCAGACACAGGCTAAAGCCTGTGATCGTAACACTTGGGAGGCTGCGCCTGAAGGGCCGCCAGTTTCCAGGCCAGTCTGGTTTACATAGTAAATTCCAGGCGAGTTTGAGAGCCTGTCTCTGAATAAGCCTGTCTCTGAATAGAGAAAAACAAAGAAGAAAACAAAATGCAAATGTCTGTTAGATCACGTGACACCAAGGAGCTGCAATCCTTACGGAGTAAAGACAAACAGTCTAATTTGAGTCAGGGAAGTTTTTCCTGTCCTCCTGCAGGACAACCTGTTTTGTCTTTCTTCTTCTCCATTGAGCTCCATTCACAGTTCCCTTCTCCCTTTCATCCCAACGAGCGGATTGGCTCCCACATTTCCCCCGCCTTTCTACTCAACTCTGGCCATCTACCAGAAGGACATGCTGAGGAGCGCACAAGTCTACACTTATTAGTGGCTGTGTTCTACAACATCTCTAAATTACTTGTCTGGAACCTGGAATCTATTTTCCCATGGAAATTGTGATTACCTTCCCAGCGGGCCTACAAAAGCTTGTTTGGCCAGGAATACCACAGAAATGAACACTGTCACCTTCCTGCTAACCCCTGCTTATTATCCTGAAGTCTCTAGGGATTTCTCTCCTTACTACAACATTTTAACTAACCATCACTTTGGGGACACTTTTTTTCCCCCCTCCTTACAAATTACAGAAAAGGTTGACTATCATTGCTAATTCTACCTAGATCCAATCTTTAATCTTGCTTTGAAGCTTTTTATTTTTTTTTTTAATTTTTTTATTTTTATTAATGATGTGACTTGTGGTGGAGAATTAGTTTCCTGTCCTCCAATGTCTACAGTTGTGGCTACATTGTCACAGTCTCTGCCTCTGTATTGAAAAGGGCCACAAAGTCTTGGCCTGCTGTCAGCACAGTCACTAATTATCTGGTTCTTGAAGGGTGTCTTCTGGGCTGTGAGGAGACAAGACCAACAACACAAACAGCCCCCTCCTCCAGAACTCTCAAACTCCTTTCTTGACTTTTTAGCATAAAATCAGATCACAATTCTCAGGTCTGGGTGGTCCTGGATAAGGTGTTAGAATTTAGATTATCTAGTTAGTGCCTGTGTGTATTTTGACCATGAATGGGATGTGTGTGTGTGTGTGTGTGTGTGTGTGTGTGTGTGTGTGTGTGTGTGTATGAGAGAGTGAGAGATTCACTAAGTAGTCCTGGCTGTCCTGGAACTATGCAGATTAGGCTGGCCTTGAATTTGAAGAGATCCTCTTGCCTGTCTGCCAAATTGCTGGGATTAAAGGCATGTGCCACCATGCCTAGCTTAAACTTGTATATTATTTTTTCTACAGAAATTTCACACTGAAATAATCTAAATTTATTGTGTCTGCTCTATACAATGTTTATCTGAGACAGTTTCTCAGTTTCTTTTTTCCCCTGTTTACTCCTCTTTGAAAATAGTTGGTTTTTTTTTTTTTTTCTTCAAGAGACAGTTTCTTGCAAGACCCAGTAACCACAATAAAACACAATCTTTGTTTTAGGTAGAAATACTATCAATGGCTGTTTCTAAAATGGGCTTAAAATGAAAAAAAAAAAAAAGTTGTCTATGGTGGTCACCTTAATGGAAAGCTTAGGCACACCACTACCTGCTACTTATTCATATGAGGGGTTTTAGGATCTGCTGCCCAGGCTGGGGTGCAGTGGATACTGAGAGGCACAACCTCACAAGTGCAGGCATGGTGGGGCTGTTGCCACACCAGATCTGTGCGGTGATGCACGTCAGCCAGGGCCGGGCTCAGCACTGTACCGCCCAGGCTCTGTGGTAACTGGAACACTGTGCTCGTAAAGTACGCATCCATCCATTCAAGCAAGGTCTCTGGAACTGCCTGTGTTTGGCCTGGAGTCTGCCCTTAGAAGTGTTCAAATATGCTGGACACGGTGTATGTGTCCATGATCCCAGCACTTCAAAGGCGGAGAGAGGACAAACAGCTATAGACAGTTTGAGGCTAGCCTAGGGTACATGAGACCCCATCTCAAAAAAGAGAAAAACCCAAATAACCCACAAAACAAGCTCCCTCCAAAACAAACAAAACTCTTAGTAAACTTGATTTACTTTAAATCTACAATCTCTAAATGAGATTTTTAAATTAATTTTTTAGTAAGCATACAAAATAATGGGTATTGTTACATTCACACACACACACACACACACACACACATATTACTGCATAAAGGAGAACTTTTAAGGACAGGATATAGTTGTCATTTTCTTAATAACTGCATTATAGTATTCACAATGAAGTACTCAATTTTTACGAAACTAAAACCACTAGTACCAAAAGGTAGATCTAGCAAGATATCATGGTGCATATAATTGTAACACTTCAGAGGCTGAGGCAGAAGGATTATGAATTAAAGACTATTTTGGGCCCGACAGGGAGTTCAAGGCCAGCTTCGACTACAAGGAAAGACCCTTCCTCAAAAATAGGGAGATTAGGGGCTGGAGAGATGACTCAGAGGTTAAGAGCAATGGCTGCTCTTCCAGAGGTCCTGAGTTCAATTTCCAGCATCCACATGGTAACTCACAACCATCTATAATGAGATCTGACACCCTCTTCTGGCATGCATGAATACATGCAGGCAGAACACTATACATAATAAATAAACAAACCTTTAAAGAAAAAAAGAAAAAAAATAGGGAGAATATAGTGGCATATTCCTTTAATTCCAGCACTCAGGAGGCAGAGGCAGGGAGGTCTCTGAATTCAAGGCCAGCCTGGTCTACAGAGTAAGTTCTAGACCAGCCAGGGTAATAGAGTGGGGCAGTCTAAAACTAAACCAAACCAGAACAGTGAATAAAATAACACATACATAAAGTGTCTAGCCAGGTGGTGGTGCATGCAGATCCCAACACTCTGGAGCCAGAGGCACGTGGATCTCTGAATTCGAGGCCAGCCTGGTCTGCAGAGTGAGTTCCAAGACATCCAGGACTACATAGAGAAACTCTGTCTCCAAAAACCAATACAATAAAAAAACAGAAATGAAGTGTCTAGAAAGGCTCCCAAGGTCTAGCAAGTACTCAGCAATATCAGCTAAATTTGAGTAGAGGATTTCACTGGGGGAAAACTAGGGTTCTTAAATTATTATTAACTATATTAGCACTCAGTTCCAAAGAGTCAGACATGGCATCGGAATGATTTTAACTGTCAACCTAAACAAATCCTGGGCTGGTAAGATGGCTCACCGGGTAAAGTCTCCTACTGATCATCAGACTTGATGATCTGAGTTTGATCCCTGAGACCCATGTGGTGGAAAGAGAGAACCGACTCCCACAGGCTGTCTTCTGACTCCCACATGTGGTACCCGAGTGCCTCTCCACACACTAAATGTAACAAGTCTTCACAATTCAATTCTCCAAAAGTAAATTTCCTGGGATTTCTTCCTTCTTGGTTGAACTGTAATCCCCCAAATTTTGGCTAGCTGGGATGATGGAGTAAACATGGGTTATGCCAATGTACAGGGAACACCTGGGGCACAGAAAAGCAATGAAATCCTAAAGACATGCACTACAGCCTCTGCTGGTCATGCAAACAAGTCTCTTCGGTGACAAGAGGGATGTTTAATGCAAAGGCTGCTTCAGCTCTCGAAACACTGAGATCATTGTCTATACAAAGTTAAGGCACACAGAAGGGAAAACTCGCTGCCGGCAAACATGCTTTCCAACTCCAGTAGTGGTCTCAGTTACAGAAACTTAACTCTCTTGGAACGACCACTGTGCTTTATGTCCACGTGTTAAAGAACAAATACTGGGCTAGGTGATGTGGTGTGTGACTAATACTACTAGCACTTGAGAGGCAGAAGGATGGCTGTGAGTTCCATGCTAGCCTGAACTACATACTGAGTTCAGGGCCAGCGTGAGTTATATAGCAGGATCCTATCTCAAAACAAACCAAAGCAAAACAAACAACAAAATTGTAAATAAAGCACAACTTCACAAGTAAGGTTTCTAAGGTGTGGGGAAACCGGTTAATTTGAATGCCTATAGATTTTCCTATCAAAGAAGGAGGTAAAACTCACAGAAGGTATTATATGCAAATTTAGATAATAAAGCTCCACAGATAAATAGTATATGAATTCATCTTAAAGTTATAACTCAGAAACAGGCATTTTAAACTGGAGTTATCAGTTACTCCTAAATGATTTGTAATGAATTTTAAATGGAAATTCCTTATTCCCTTTGAACATATGAAAAGCCTAGCCATTTCCTACTGAACTTCTAATGCCTCTGCAAGTAATTCACCACAGCTCTCCAGGAGTAAATGCCAGTGGGAAGCACCTGATGTCTGTCACCTCTGCACAGTACAGTTTAACTTTGATCCTGTTTATTTGCTAAAATCTGCTCTAAAAAAAAAAAAAAAAAAAAAAAAAAAAAAAAAAAAGAAGAAGAAGGAAATTCAGGGGCTGGAGAGATGTTCAGTGGTTAAGAGCACTGGCTGCTCTCCCAGAGGACCCATGTTCAATTCCCAGCACCCAGTTGTGGCAGCTCACAGCAGTCTGTGACTCCAGTTCCAGGGGATCCGACACCCCCACACAGACATACAAGCAGGCAAAACCCCAATGCACATACAATAAAAATAAATAAATCATTTCTTAAAAAAAGTAAGTTCACGACATCCTTGCAGTCTATGAAGTTACTCAACAGGCTGGCACCACACTGGAAGTTCTGAACATTTCAACACTAGGAAAAATAAACACACCCCTCAATTCTGTCTTGTGAGAAGCAGAGAGAACACTATATGTACTGCACCAAAGATCTGAACATTAAATTATCTACGCAAACAAAGAAAATAACACAAGTGCAATCCTAAATGTAATTCTTAATAAATAATTTACTTAAAGAAAATCCAAAGCATCTTTCAATCTACTGCTAGGTTTACAGGAGTAATCTTTCTTCTCGGGCAGGCAGACCATCACAGGCTTGGTCTGCTGTAAGGAGAGTTTAAATACACAGTGCTTTAATTTGCACTGTGAAAAATAAACAGCTGCATTAGGCCTTTCTGGACAGTCAATAGGTTTTACTTCCACTGCTTTGAGAAAAGACAAAAGACATGCCTTTATAGTTGACTTGCTGCACCCTCAGTTTCGTGGATACCAAAACCACAGAATCTCCACTACAACACATGAAAACATAAACACGAATACATACAATATAAACGGGCAATAAAATAAACACAATAAAGTGACCTTTACGTCTCTGAAGTGCCAATTTACACACTAACCACCAAATACAGAACTTGGACCTGCCATAGAGGAAAAAAAAAAATCATTATTAGCCTGGAGGAAAAAAGAAAAAAAAATTAAGCTACCACTGTCACCATCACGGGAAAAAAAAAAAAGTTAAAACGGAAAGCAACAATAATATCGTAAAACCTGTGTCTTGGAAAGGTTTCTTGCCATCAGAAGGTGCAGAGACATTCCCCCCTAGGGACTCGATTCTGTTTCCTTCCCAGCTTTTCAAACCCTTAGGCGCCGGAGTAGACCGCGAGAGTGGACTTTTTTTTTTTTTTTTTTTTTCCGGAGAGGAGAGGTAGAAATTTGCACTTTCTCCGGAGCCGGTGCACTTTTCCCCTTGGCCCCTCTTAGCTCTGCCTCCAAGATGGTAGGAAAGTTGTCGTTTCGGAGGGCAGAGGAACTGCTCTGTGGTGCTATGTCCTCGCAGTGCCTGTAGTGGTGCTGTAGGAGGCTGCCGCCTCTTCCCGTGCAGGCGGGCAGCCCTGCCTTCTTGGCTGGAGAGTACGTTCAGGGATTTCCCCTTAATGATCACCGACCCCGGGAGCACTTTTTAGTTTCCAAAATAAAAATATGATCCTCACCCCTCTTGTTCGACAGGGAAAGACTCTCGCTGAAGCCCAGGGGGGGAGCAGTACCAGCCGAGCTTCCTAGTCCACTGCCAGCGCCTCTCTGATCTGTCAGCCCAGCCGAGGGAAAAGGGGGGGGGGGGGGGGGGGGAGGAAGGAGGAGGAGGGAAAAAAAAAAAAATCAGAAAAAAAAAAAAAAAAAAAAAGGCAGCTGAAAGGTAAGCAGAGGCGGCCCCAGGCCCGGCCCACATCCCCGGGCTCCCGTAGGGCGGCGGGCTGGGCCGCGCAGGCAGGGCGGGCGGCGAGCGCGCTTACGTGAGGCCGGGGATTCGCCGGCCCACGCCAGGCCGCGGGCGGAGAATGAAAGGGTGAGTGGGGCCGGCGCTGGGGTGGCGGGGGCCGGGGGGGGACTGGGGGGGCCTCGGGGACGCCCGCGGGCAGCTACGGCGGGGGTTCCGGCGGCGGACTGAGCGCGGCGAGCGGCGCGGCCTGCGCGGGCCGGGCCTGGGGAGGGCTGCGGAAGGGGGGGGCGCCCTAGGCCTCGGGCCCCGCGGCGGGCCGCGCCCTGCCCCCGCGCCACAGGCCTCCCGCGCCCCTGGGGTCCCCCGGGGCCTCGGGGCGAGTGGGGCGGGCGGCGCGGCGGGGCTGCATCCTGCGCCGGCCCCAGGCTCTCCCGCGGGGCGGAAGGCCGGGCGGGCGGCGGGGACCGGGACGGCGGGGGCCTTAAGAGTGGAGAGTGTGCGGCAGCTTCCCCCCCCCCCCTCCCCGTTCCCCGGGCATCGCGCAGACGGAGCCCCGGGATTCCGGTAACTGTTGGGTTGATTTATTCCCCCCACTCCGCGGCGCTCCGGACGGCCTGGCCGGGGCGGGGGCGGGCGGCCTGGCGGGCGTGGGGTGGAGGGGCGGCGAGAAGTCAGGTGCAGCCGCGGCCCGGAAAGTTTCCTTTTAGGCCCGATTTGGGGGTTGCCTTCTCTCCGGGGAGCCCCGGTCCTAGCGCCGGGGACCCCCCGAGGGCTGGGGGGAGAGCACTCGGCGGGCTGGAAAACTCTTTGCCAGTTCCTGTCCATTCAAGGTACTCCGCCCCTGCACCCCTCGCCCGCGCCCCCACCCCACTCCCCGCGATCCCCTCCGGGGCTGCCAACTCCAGCCCATTCCCCCCAAGAGCTCCCAGGCCCGGGGAGAAGCCTTCTCTTCCGGTTTGGAAAAGTTTTCAAGGGATTTTTTTTTTTTTTCCCCCTCCTTAGCGTTATTAGTTAGTGACTGGGCTCTGGGGGGTGGGAAGGGAGGAGGTAGATTTCAGGTGCTGCTTCTGCTGCACGGTCTTGGCCCGTCGGCCTCCCTCTTTTTTTAAAAAAAATTCCGTACCCCATGGAACAGCGGTGTGTGTGTGTGTGGGGGGTGTTGCTTGTTCATTTATTACCCCCCCCCCCCCCCACCTTTTCTCCCGGACTCCTTTGGGTCTCCAAATCTCCCTTTCTGGACAGCTCCGGGCAGAAAGATAGTAAGTAGGGATCAGAGTGCATGCTGTCAGGGAGAGGGGCAGGACCAGGCAGGCTTCTGGAGCAGTCAGTCCCCAGCCTCCAGGTTGCAGGAGTTTCCCCCCACTCCTCTGATTTGGGCACCGTCCGGTAAAACCAACTCAGAAACTGAAGCCACGAGGGGCGGGGGTGGGGTGGGGTGGGGGACGACACCTCGGCTGACAGACGTTGCAGAGCAATTCAAAATTGGGAGGAAGGAACTGGAGGGGCAGGGCGGCTTTTGAAAGTAAGGTCTACCTGCAGTTTTCAGGAGCAATGCTTGGTTTGTCCTGATGGTAACTGTTTAGCTTTGTGTGATATCCTTAGGTGCCTGTCTAGAATTAGAAAAAGGGGGGGGGGGGGGTTAAGGAAACTTAAAGTTGTGATGCCTACAGCTCAGGGGTCTGTGAGCTGAACATAGACTTTGGCTTTGGCCTACCCTACAAACGAACTCGATTTTGGTTCAGGCTTCGGTGCCATCAACTCTGAAACTTTTTTCTCTTCTTTTTCTTTCGTGTAGTAAACTCAAATTTCCAAATCTAGATTTCCTTCTTTTCGAAGGTAGGCTGGGCTACCACTGACCACCTCCTGGTTGTCGTTTAGTGTTGAAATTGCAATGTACATGGCCCTGCCACTTCCAGCCCCATCGTGGGCATGTGTGAAGAGTTCAGTTGACCTCTTTTATTCGTCCCCCCCCCCACCCACCCACTCTTGGGTCAGTGTGTGTGTGTGTGTGTGTGTGTGTGTGTGTGTGTGTCCGTGTCCCCTGCTTGGTTGGTTGCATGTTGGAGATTGCTGGCACAGGCAGACCACGTTCTGATCACTCAGCCCACAGAGCAGTGGTAGTGAAAAATTGCCTGTCAATTGCAGAGCAACGGGGTAATCCCTGACTTGGTCAGCACTGGCTTCTGTGAGGCGTCACACTGAGGCTCCTTACATGATTCTTGCCAAGGATCCTTTGCTTTTGTCTGGCTAAAATAGAGCTCTGTTTTCTCACAGTGTTAGATGACCAGCCATTTAGACTTGTGCCTAAGAAAGTCTTGATATTTGAAGATGGTATGGATTTGGTATCAGAATGCAAATTACATGTAATGGTTGTTTTATCATTATTGATTAATTGAAATTGCTTATTGACTAGGGCATTTCATGTATGTGTGTAGCAAAACCATTATTCCTGTTTTGACCCTTATTTTCAGAGCAAACTGTGTAGAAGAAAAATCATCCTGAGTCCCCCCTTTCCCAGGATATTTTAAAAGTTGAAAGAAATCTTGCTATTTTGTAATTTATTTGTTTTGTTTTTGTTTTTTTGAGACAGGGTTTCTCTGTGTAGTCCTGGCTGTCCTGGAACTCACTCTGTAGACCAGGCTGGCCTCAAACTCTCTCTCTCTCTCTCTCTCTCTCTCTCTCTCTCTCTCTCTCTCTCTCTCCATATATATATATATATATGTATATATATATATACATACATATATATATGTATATATGTATATACATATATATATATATATATATCTCAATCCTGGCGTGATCAGACACCAGACAGCCTGGGAATTGAACCTGGGTCCTCTGGAGCATCAGTCAGTGCTCTTAACTGCTGAGCCATCTCTCTCCCATGAGATCAGTATGTTTAAAGCTTATCATCAGCTTCATATTCTTAGCGTTTCAAAAAATTGTATTATGTACAAAAGTTTTATGGGTTTTTTTCCCCCATCCTGTCTCAAACATTTTAATTCTCTGTTGTAACCCACTCATGGGCTATTTTATTCCTGAAGAAATGGTAGATTTGATGTTTTAAAAGTTAATTTTATTTCAAACTAGTAAGAGACTTCCTGGGAACATACTGAATTGTTTTAAATGGAAAGGGACTGTGTTTTTCACTATGAGTTGTTTTGTTTAAAAAGTAGATGTTTAGCCGGGCGGTGGTGGCGCACGCCTTTAATCCCAGCACTCGGGAGGCAGAGGCAGGCGGATCTCTGTGAGTTCGAGGCCAGCCTGGGCTACCAAGTGAGTCCCAGGAAAGGCGCAAAGCTACACAGAGAAACCCTGTCTCGAAAAAC